TGACTGCCTTCTCCCCCCTCCCCCCCACCCCCTTTCAATATTTCTCTGCTCCCCCCCCCCCCCCCCAACCTCTCAAAGGAATTCAAGCGGCACAAGGAACGAAATCCTCGCCGGTACTACCCACCGCGGACGTTGACGCCCGCTGCTGCGTGGACGCCGCCGCCGCCGCTGTTGGCGGGACACCGGCGTCCTTCTTGTCGCCGGCGGCGACTGCTGCTACCTGGTTATCTCCAGGCAGCGGTGACGACGCGGTGGTGTTAACGGCGGCGGCATCGGCGGCGGCGGCGGCGGCGGCGACGAGAGCGGAAGCGGCCGTCTGGCCGGCTCCCACGCTTTTGGGGGAGGAGCACGTGCGCCGCTGGTGCCCACCGACGGTATCAGCCCGCACGGGCATCTCCTGGGTGGCCTATGGGAAGGGAGGAGGAAATAACGTGGAGTTATGCATGGGACGCGTGGGGAGGAGGGGGGGGGCGCAGCATGCTCAGCTCGAGACCGTACAGGCTGGGGGGCTTCTCGTACAACGTACGTACAGGTACAGCAGTCGTATCGGAGTCCTGCACGTGCTCCACCCCACCTCGACCCCCAACGTCCTTTGACCTACCACGCACACAAAAAAGGAGCTACGACAATACGGGGCGACAGACAGCAGCGGCAACAACGACATGCGAACCAGAGCGAAGAATCTGGTCCTGGCCCGTCCCGGGGGGGCACTGCTGCTGTGCTTGTATTGCAGCAGTGCAGGCTCTTTGAGACGAACGGCAACAGGAAAGACGAAAAGACTCTCCTTCTAGGGCCGTGCGGCCATCATGTGCAAAAACGAAGGAGCGTTAAGGTACCCGGCGGGGCTGCGTCTACCGCCGACGAAGGGGGCACGGAAAGACACGCGATAGCAGCAGCAGCAGAAACAGCAACAGCTGCAACAGCGGCAGCAGCGGCGGCGGTGCACCACACCAGGGCGCGCGCTCCCGTACATTATGTACTACAGCGCTATTCAGAACCCAGGCCGTGGGCAGCACCGAGCGCCCTCGCGCGCGTTCGCTTAGCACTGGCGTAGAAAAACGGCCGGCAGCGCGACAAGAAAGGGCACACTAACGATTCAAAGGCGCCTCTCCTTGCAGGCCGAACTCTCCTCGAAACACCAACACACACCTTTTCCTTGTCCTCTTTTTCCCTGCCCTGCCCCTCCTGCTGCCGACGATGACGACGATGACGGTCGCCGCCCTGTGCCGCTCCGGCCGCCCCTTCCGCGCCGGCGGTGCCACCGGCCGGGGTGCCCGTTATCGTTGCGGGCGAGCGGCCGCCGCTCCCGCTGCCGCCGCTACCGTCGCCGCTCCTGGCGTCGACGATGGATTGGAGCTCGGCGTCGACCTCGGCCCAGGTTGGCACGCGGAGCACGTTCGCCGGGAGAGGTCCGTCCGTCCTGTTCCAGGCATAATCGCCTGCCAGGAACAACCAGAAGGAGGGGGGGGGGGGGGAGAGAGCAAGTTACGTGAACGAACCGTTCGAAATCTGTCTGGCCAAAAAGAAAGAAAGCCAGAAAGGTGGCCACTAAATAGTACTCTAATACTGCAGACCTGTTGTTGTGTCGTCGTTTAACTGATGCTGTCGAAAAGTCGGCAGAGACGGCGAAACAATGGCGGAAACTAAGCATGTAGCAGTACCTCGAGTATGTATAGTGTCTATTACATCAACATGCGCATCGCGGCGACTCGTATGTAGAGGTGGAGGCCTTACTGAAAGTGCTGCCAACCGCTGTTCCCATGGGACGGTGTGTGGACTAAAGACCAACTTTTTCGGAGAAAAAGCCTCATTCCAAAAAAACAGTTTAGCAGCGCTGGTTTCCCCACCCCTCCGAAAGCTACCCCGCCTAGCTTAGTCAGCGGCGAGTAACAATTAGAACCGTCGCTAATTCTAAGCCTAAACGTGCACGGGTGGTGGTGGGCTGTAGTGGCAACGATGCATAAAAAAACAGCAAGATCGAAAATACATGGGACAAAAAAACTCAAGCAGCATCATTGGGTACCATTCCTTTTTCAGGCACGCAAAAAGGAATACCCAACCCCGGCCCCAGCATAGTTAAATTAACACGCGAAATAAAAGATAGTAGACGGTTTCGGAAGTATTCTTGGCAAGAGTTCACTTTCACTTTTAACAGCACCGTTCCTGGGACCAGTTCCGTTTTTTCCGAAGTTTTTACTTTTAACGATGTGATGTCACGATGTCTCCAGGAGGGAATCTCATCAGCACGGCCCGCGACCAAGTCACCATATCTCCCTAACAGATGCTTGCATTCGGGTGAAACCTTCGACGTTCTGTGCTCCACAGCTCTGAGGTGCCTTGCCACCAACTGAGATGGGTCTGAGTGGAGCGTTGTGAGCGTCGTGTGAGAGAGGACGCGACGTTTTTGAGCTGGAATGCATATGCACGCACCCAGACAAGGTGTGCGCCCGCAGCAACAAACGCACGCAGCACGCCCAAACGCTCGTCGCTCTCTCGCAACGCATCCCCCCAATCTTCAAGCCAGAGCCAACAACGCACAAGGCAGCAAGATGCCCTAGGATTTGTTGTGGATCATGCTGCACTACATCGTTGTGGGCGATCGATGCGAGTTATAGTAGGTGAAAAGCCGCTGCTGCTGCTGTAGGCGGGTGTGTGTGTGTTCGAAAAAAATATGAGCGAGCTGTGGCCCGACATCAATTTGACAAGTCAAACCTTCGTCAGCGCCGAAGCAGGAGTCCTCCCACTGCTGGAGTCCTCCCACTGCTGGCAGTAAGCTCTACGACCGACCGCGGGCATGCGTTGGTGAGGTTAGGTGTGCAACAGCACCCATCCTGGCGTGATGTTGACCAAAGCAGCTAAAAGCTCAAAGATGAAAAAACTTGAAAAAGTTAGGCTTTAACAGACGCTAGCCGCCCTCTGTGCTAAAAAAATCTTCCTATAATAGGATCGAAAGTTCATTTTTATGGCGGCCATAAACTGGCTCTTTTCCCTCGAAAGTGAAAGTGAACTTTCCAAAACGTACATCCGAAACTCGCCAGTATGATAGCACCGAATATTTGCAGCAGCGCTGGGACGAGCACAATGGCATAATATCAGAGAGAGATTTTTCGTTCGAGAAATACATAGTCGAAGGGGATTCTATTTTAGAAAATATTCTTGTTTCGTTATTTTCTTCCCCATCGTTCATCTGCACAAAGGCCCAACCAACACCAGTCCGGCACAAAATTCTCGCGGGAAAGAAATTGCGTGACCAAACGACCGAAAGCCTACAAAGTAGCTCCGAGTCTTTAGTACAACGGCCAAATTGATTGGTCTTCGGACCACCAGGTGGTGGCAGCTGCTGCAACTGCTGTCGCCGTGTCTGGTGCCTCAGAGCTCAGAGCCACAAGCTGAGATTTGGACTGCTGCCTGCCCGGCAGAGTGGACTAGAAAACCTGTGAAGGGTTGTGTTTTGAGAGGAGGGAAGAAATTTCAAGATGTGACCTGCTGCTGCTGTATCTGCTTTATCTATGTACCACCTGCTGCTGTGAAACCCGTCGGTGTGGGGGCTCTTTCCCGTTGAAGCTGCTTCCATTCAGTGTGCCGCTTGCTAAAACGGACGTGCACAGGCGGTAGATAGTACGCGCGTGTTGCTGCTGCTTCTTGCTGCCTAGACACGCGTTCCCGAGCTTGTTGATCGAAGGATGGACGTAGTACTTGTTTTCACCACTTCACCGCCGTGGCTGCGGCCTACCACCTATACATATCAGTAGCAGGACAAACCAACACCCCGTCTCCACGAACAACACCGCCACCAGAACATCAACGGCGGGCGAGACTCCTGTCATCCTGTCATATGTATGGACGTGACTGGAGTATGACGGAACTTGAAGCCGCCACGCGCAAGGCAGGGGGGGGCGCACCAACGGTTGGATATACCAGTGATGTTAGGCACTGCTGCTGTGAGAAGCTGCGTAACTTGATACTGCTGCTGCTGTTGGGAGCTAAAAGCTGTGGTACAATTGTAGAGCACGTACCCGTAGACTAAAACTTGCAAACACGACAAATAACAGAGGAGCGTACACACATGAGTGTACCGAAGAAACAAGTAGAAAGGGAACTGCGACGATGTACCTTCTTTCTCCCTGCTGCACACACCACACACACACACACACACACACAGCGGCACACCAACTCACCGAACAACAGCGTCCTGATCCCTGCAGACGCGCACTCTGTGGCGTACTTGGTGTTGTCGTCGATGATCATCTCGGCGCCGATCATCCTGCAGAGGTCGGGCTTCGACCGCACCGCCCCCTCCGTCGAGAAATGGTTGCCGAACCGGAGCCCGGCGAATATCCCGGGGTAGTGGGCGTCGATCCACCTTTTCGTGTGGGCCTGAAGCGAGTCCTGTCGGGAGGTTACCAAGTAGAAGGTAAGGGTCCGCGAGTGCTTCCGGAGGACCTCCGCAGCGCCGGCCAGGGGGGGTATCCCGTCCAGGAAGTAGGGAGTCTTGAAGAACTCGATCATCTTCGCGTCCGCCTCCGCCCTGGTGCCTCCCCAGACCTCGTGGAAGTAGTAGCTGTTGAAGCTCTCCGGGGTGAGGGAGGTGCCGTGGTTGTCATTGTGGAAGGCGCACAGCTGGAGGACGAACTCGCCCAGGACCTCGTCAAGGTCGACCGCGATGACCGGTTTGTTGCGGCTGCTGCTGCTGCCGCTGCTGCCGCTGCTGCTGCCACTGCTGCCGCTGCTGCTGCCACTGCTGCTGCTGCTGCTGCACCCCCCTTCCGGAGGGAAGTTGCTCGCTGATTGTTGAGTCATGTTTCTTTGTGTGCTGCCGTTCAATTCGCTGCCGACCTCCTCCCTCTCTCTCTCTCCCTGTGGGCTGCGGCTCGTTAAACCTTGTTGTTTTGTTAGGTCAGAAGAACCTCAGCAAACATGCATGGCGGCTGTCTCTGTTTTTCCTCTCCGATTCCACTCCCTGTGCGGGTTTCGGTGCCGGCCTTTCTTGGTACGGCACGGGTTGTGGCCTGCGGGTGCGGGGTACAATATCAATCCTCTACAGACAGCACCACGATGAACAGATGCGTGACCACGGCGGTCTCTTTATTTACTGGATTCCAAACGCGGACAGAAGTCTAAATTCTCAACACCAAATCTCCGTAGAGAGTACTGTGTTCCAAGTTCAGAGAGTCCAAAACGTGCGTCGGATCATGCGCCAACCGTTGTCATCTCTTACATATCATGAGCGTGGTGCGTGGACAACGGGTGGAAAAATTAAGCTGTGCGCATGTCACAAGCTGTGCGCATGTCACAAGACCCGTCCATCCTTGGTGATACACGGCTTACTGCTGCTGCTGAGGCTGAGAGGTGTGATCCTTGGTGTGTGACGACAAGTTCTTCGGTCTATTGCGGTGCGAAGTGCAAAAAGTCTGTGTTTGTATGCTATATTTGCTGATATATGTATTTTCCTCATAAAATATTTCAGAACAAATAATAAAGTGAACTTTGCCCCGCGGCCCCGCGGAATCGTAGAACCGGGCAATAGGATCAGGGGGGGGAGGGAGCAGCGCGCTCTGTGGGTCGGTCAGCGTCGGTCGAGCAACGCACAAGAGCACCAGCAGAGCAGCGCACGGCGACAGCTGTCCACGGGGGTGAATTAAGTGAAGCCTGGCCCACGCATACCGATTGATCATCATGTCCCAGTCCCGCGTGAACCTGGCGACAGCCAAGCGGGAGCTGGCGGAGCGCCGAGACGAGGCGAACCTGTGTATGGTGGAGCTGAAGCACGCGCAGGAGGTGCTGGCCGCTGGGGGCACAGGGCCCAAGGTTCTGTCGGTGAGAGAACGAGAGAGAGACAGAGAGCACTGCGAGGAGTTGATTGCTTTTTACCGAATCCCTGATCGGCTGCTTGATGAGCGGTTGCATTGCACGCCTTGTGTACGGCCTTCATTCAAAACTTGCGGTGAATACAACTCGTCTCTCCCTCCGAACTCCGCGCTGTGCTTGCGGTCGTGTTCGTCCACTCGCTGGGGAGGAAAGACACCTATAGACGTCTCCAGCACATTTCTTGTGTTGTTGTGCTGCCAGGACACGCCCGGTTGCGGCCGCCGTTTTGCCCGTCAATCTTGCCCTGCAACGCGCTTGATCGCTCCCGAACACGCCTTGGAAAGCTCATCTACACCAGCCGTCCGTGAGAGCTCCCTCAAGATTTTACAGAGACAGCCTCCGGAGAGGTGGAGCAGTAAAGTACATGCGTACAATCACGAACACACGTGCATCGTCGAAATAGGCCACACCTACACATACATGTATGCAGCATATGTCAAGTCGCCCGTGCTAATTCACTGTTGTGCAACACGCATACGGGTTGACTTTCAAACTCGAACGTGTTCCGTGAGTGCCCTTCGTGTGTCTGGCTTTTTTCTTTTTACTTTTTTCACACACCGGTTAATCCCTCGAACCTCAAATCCCTGATTCCGCCGCGTTTCTTATCCGACGCTCGGGCACGCGGCTTCCGTGTGGGGAAAACGACAACAAGGTTACGGTGCAAGAGGTATTCGGCCCGATCACGGTGGACAGGGTAGCAGTTCGTCCAGACGCTTCACCAGCGCAGGAAAAGGTATGGGAGATACTTAAGTACCACAGCGATTGGCTGGTTGGCAAGCGGGGTCTCTCAAGTCGGGGAGGACCGCTGGCGGAGTTTTGAAAAGACCTGCTCGACTTGTTTCACCCAGCGTTTCTGGGGGGATTGGTGGTACAGGGATGTGATTGGATTAGACTGCAGGATGCTTGAATGGGAGTTGACAGGCTTACTTGCACAACAACACGAGCCAACCATATGAAAGTATTATCATGGTAAGATGAACGTTGCTGCACATGTAGAGGGTACCTCGACGCAGCCGCCTCCATATGTTGGATTTTGCTTTTTGCGACGGCGCACGTTCGCGAAGGAAGACGTCATGTGCTCGATTCGACTCGTCAAATATTTGGGGTCACTGCTGTTCTCGATTGTGGTTTTGTCAACTGGTTGGTGCACCACCTCTGATTCTCCTTTCCAGATGTGCGTGTTTTGTACCGACTTCCTCTTGCTCTCTTTTCTGCACCCCCCTTCCCCTCAACGCCGTCTTCTCCACTCCGCCGCCTCCCCTTCGGGCAGGTCGTGGCGCAAGGCATCCCCTGCACGTTTCCCCTCGATGCCGCAGTAGAAAGCTTTGACCTGGTTCTCATGGCGGAGAACGACAGCGGCGCCGGAGCGACGAAATCGGCCGCCGTTGACCAGGCGTCAGTATCACAAGAGGACTCGTCTCAGTTAGCGGAGGCAGCGGCGGTGGCGGTACCGGGGGATGGCCACGAAACCGACGAAGTGGTCATCAGCGCGGAGGACGCGGCCGAAGCCGTCGAGGCGGAAGCGGCGGCGGCAGCAACGGCGGCTGTACCAGACGCCGCTGAACCCGGAGAAGCCGGTGTAGACGAGGTGACCGTCGCCACCGCCGCCACCGCCGCCACCGCCGCAGCTGGCGCTGTTTCTGAGCAGGGGAACGATGCCGAAGAGGAGTTCCACGATGACTCGGGGGCGGCCGCTCCTGTTGCAGACGCTGCTGAGGCACCAGTCGCGGGGGAAACGGAGGCGGTGGGAGCGGAGGCCGGCCAGGGAGAAACCGCGGAGTCCGAAGCAGCGGGTGAGGTGGACGAGGCGAAGGAAGCAACGGATGAGGCCTCGCCGGTGGCGTCGGGGACGACCGGCGAGGAGAGTAACGCTAACGTCGTTGACGACGACGCCGCCCCAGCGAGTGCAGCAGCAGGAGCAGCAGCAGCAGCAGCAGGGGAGGAGGTTGCGGCGGCGGCGGTAGAGACACCGGCGGCGGAAGGCGATGTACCCGCTGCTGCAGAGGTGGCTGTGACCCCTGTGGACGGCGGCGACGGGGACTCCGCCGCGGCGGGACTTTCGCTTGATACCGCAGCGGCAGAGGCGGAAGCGGCAGCGGCAGCGGCGGCGGCGGCGGCGGCGGTGGCGGCGGTGGGGCCCGTTGCTGGAGAAGACTCGGAAACCGCTCCGGCGGCGACGGTTGCCGAAGCCGCCGGCGAAGCCGCGGATGAAGCAGACACCGGTGCTGCGAGGGCGAGCCTTAACGGTGGCGTAGGGGGCGCCTCGCCCGCGGCGGCGGCGGCCCTGGGGTGCAGCACCGGTACGACAGAGGTGGTGGTGCCCTCCTCCGAGCTGGACTTCAAGCTCAGCCAAGGGCAGTGGCGGTACCTGGAGGCGGACTCGACACCCGTGCACGGCGACGGCGCCGTCGAGGTCACCAAGGGTATCAGGTTCTCGACGTCCCTCAAGGCCGTGGACAGCCGGGAAGATGACGTGCGTGCCTCTCGTTGCCGTGTGTATGTTTTTGTTGCTGGCATCGACCGGGCTAACCGGCTGACCAATGAAAAAGACGCCAGTCTCAGTGCGGTTGAAAACAGGAAATGCTTGTGGAGACCATGATCTGGGACCCCTGCGCGTCACGAGGGAGGCTATGCTACCCTCTGGATTTTTTTGAAGACAGATACGGTGTAGCAGCAAAGAACAATTGAGTGCGTGTGTGTGTGTGCTCATCATGTGTGCTGTTGTTGATGTCGTATGCATAGCTGTGTTTCTCGTCTGCCACGTTCGTTGGTAGGAGAGCGTCAGCCTTCGGCGGGGCCAGAACGAGAGAAAAAGAAACACGATGCGTGTACGCGCTCGTGGCAGAACGGGGTGGTTTTCCGGGTAGGGAGTCCGACACAAGTGTTTTTTCTTTGGGCCGCGGTGAAATTGAAACTATTTCGGCGTAACGAGCTTACCAGCAACTGCTTGCTGTGGTCGTGTTTATTTACCCGCCGTCCCACCCCACCCCCCGCCCCCCTGCTCGGGGCTGCCTTCTCTTCTCTTTCCACAGGACCGCATCGTGGAGCTGTCGGAGAAGCTGAGCGATGCAGAGCGGCGGGTTCGGGCTGCTGAGGCTATGGTGAGCAACCCGACTCCTCCCCCCCCCCCCCCCTCCAGTTTATCCCTCGCCTCATATCTGTGTTGGAGTACGCGGCTGGCCGCGTTGTCGTACTAATCCAAGTCTATCGAAATTCGCGGTGAGTATGCAGCACCGACCGTGTGGTTACGGTTTTTGTTACTTTATTTTTTATGGTTGGCCTCTTGGCACGATCTCTGCGTCGTGTCTCTGTCACACGATCGATCGCACCGCCCCGGCCTAGCATGTGTCCGCTTTGCGATGGATGCAGCGTCGTCCCGCTGAGTTTGCACCTGTGCAAGTTCACGGCGGCCGCCCTCGCACGTGTGGGAAGGGGACAACCAGCCCTCCCCACCACCCCCGCTCTGCTGCAAACTTGGTGCACCTCTCGGTGTCTCTCTCGGAAGCGCCTTTTTTTGGATAGTTGTTCCTGCTTTGCGCCCGCGCACCCAAACGCCACCACCTCCCCCTGATTTTGTGTGTTGTGTGACAAAAAAAAAACGCAGATCAAGAAGTTGCAGCCCTCGTCGGCAACCGCAAGCAGCCGCAAGAAGTCCGGCGGCGGCGGCGGCGGCGCGGGGGTCCGAAAGTCGGCGCTCAAGAAGAGCAAGGGCGGCACGAGGGCGGTCAAGTCCGACGCGGCTAAGAGAAGGGGGGCCGCCGGAGCCCTGTCTGCCGCCGTCGGAAACGCCTACGGCAAGGCCAAGACCGCCGGCGCGCTCGCGTGGGGGGCACGCAACCTGGTGTTCTTCGCGGCGGCGGTAGCCGCGATGCACCTCCACGGGGACTACCTTGCGGTGTAGAAAGGATTGTTCACATCTCTCTCTTTTTTTTTTTGCGTTGAGGGTGTGGAAGGTTCTCGCGGAGGATGAGGGAGGGATGAGGATCAGTCATGTCAAGTGCATGACGTCTGTGTCCTGACTGTTACTGTAGACCTCGCGTTCCTATTAAGCCCTGGGGCTGGAGCACGCTTGTTTTTTGTTTCGAACAGGCTATTGCGGGGGGGGGGGTTAATTGTATCGCTGGGATGCTAGGGCGCGAAGAGATGGGGCTGGCTTATTGTTCGTTGTCCATTGGTTCGCCTATTTTCGACGTGTGGTGTTCGAACCCGTTCTGGCTACTGCCTTGTACAGGTCCCGGAGGGCGGGGGGGGGTGGGGGACGGTTGGGGGGGAGGGCAAGTCGTCCCCCCGGTTACGATGGCGTGAGGCACGTGCTACGTTGTCTTTGGCTGCTGCCCTCACTGTTCCATTGGACGACGGCACCAGATTGTGAATCCGCCTTTCACAATCACCCACTCTGCTCGTTGCACCCGTGGTAGCCTTCCCTGCCGGCCCAACCAAGCAGTGTTCTACAAGTCGTTTTCATGCTTGTTTTCCTTTGGTGTTCTTCACGATACGCACGGCAGTGTTGCCACAAATAGTCTTGCGCTTTTGATGACATTTATGGTTCATGTGTTGGAACCTACGGGCGATGACGCTCGCTTGCGTCGTCAGTGCTCCGAACACCTAGACACCGATCGATAATAAGGTGCTTTTCCTGGGCGCGGTCTCGGCCTTTGATGAGAGCTCTCTTGCTTTCGACAGGCTGCGGTTTTGGTCACACGCAGGAGGAGGGTGTGTCGGATGGCTCTTGAAGAAATGGCAGGTTTATTTTTTGTGGCGCGCCGAGTTGTTGTTGTTGTTGTCTTCACATTCAACTCGTGTCAGTTTCCGCCCAAAAAATAAAATCTGCAACCAAGCCTTGTTTCCTGATATACTACTGCTGGTGGGTAACCGCCGCCCCCGCGTACAACTCTCGAGACACACAAAACACTGCAACTACTGCTCCTTAGCACTACGGGTGAGGTAGCGGGGGAGCGCACGTGAGAGGGAATCTTCGGCGTCCGTTTCCGCAGGAAGAAAGAGCACATTTGTTTTACGGCTATTCTCGGGACTGTCTTGGCACACCTGCTGCACTTAACACACACACAAGGTTTCATGGAGTCTGTCTCCGCCATCTCTTCAGTATTTCAGGGGTCGGGGTGTTGTCCAAGTGCGGTACGCAGCTTGTTTCCGGGGGTATGCAGTCCAGTCTTCTTGTAGAGGTGCGGTCATTTTTGGCCGCGAGTATCAACACCCAAACGACCCCCCCAACGTTCTGCTTCTTGTTGGAACAATAATATATTGACGAACTCGACGGTTTCAGAAAACGACCCGTTGCTTCGCGGGGACGTCTACTCTTTCTTTCTCAATATCCCCCCCACATCTACCGGCGGCGTGCTGACTTGAAGGGCTCGCACACAATATCGATGCTCACACCGCCATCACGGAGAGCCTTCCTTGTCGCTCATCCTCAGATCATCCAAACCACGGTGAGGATGTGGTACAGGGCGGAGGAAAGAGCACGTGCCGGTGGCTGTTCCGACGTAGTTACTGCTGTACGTAGGACGGCTATAGACTATTTAGTCTTCTACCATGAGCTTGTTTCGTTCGACGATTGAGTGAGTGAGGTAGTCGAGAGGATTGTGATGTATGTAGCTAATTCACCCAGCAAATATCACACCTCTTCTACCGCTCGCTGTACTACAAGAAGACAACAAGCAAGCGTGCCGCGAGTACAACGACTTTTAGCTGTCAGTCTCGGCAGCAAGTCGGGACAACGATATTCTGCGTGTCGCTCAATATGTGGACACTGCTTTGTTTGTTGGTCGTGCGCTACCTGCCCATCGACCGTAACAGTCCTGCGATACATGTAGACCGCGGGTTATGGCGAACTTGCTGCTGCTGCTGATATGTGTGGCACGTACGCACATGACCTTACGATCTCAGCACCCACCACTCAATCTCTGTACTCATTAATGTAGAGGTTGTACACGACAGGATGAAATGCGGTTGACCGGCTTGGTCTATTCTCTAAATGGCTTCTGTATCGTCACAATCGACGCGACACGTCAATGCTTCCGAGCGGTAACTTTCCCGTTGCCCCCCCCCAAAAAAATTAAAGGCAAACGCCCATCGGCACAGATCGTTCACGAAGAGCGAAACAAGGAATATCATACCATATGCATATCCGCTACATACATTACCTAAAATTCCACATTATTATTCGGGTGGAATTGGTACATGCAAGGGACGTCGACCTACGACGAAGTAGGGCGCAGAGAAACCGCCCAACTTAGCGCGCACGGGACTCACGTTCGACCAAAGGCGTGCCTGTTGTATCGGGTATTGGCGTGCCGTTGTGACATCTGTATGTCATGTGGCTTAGGGCCGACAGGAGGAATAGTTTCGTGAGACCTGTGCGACCACCCTGTCCTGACCCCATCTCGCAAGCTAAGTTTTGCGAGAGATGGTTTCTTCCTCAGTCCTCACTGCAAATGCTTCAATGCGCCGGGTAGTCTTTTCGCGATGCTCTGACGTTTTCCAAGAAACGCACGGACTCTCCCACCCACCCCCGACCCCGCTGCCCCGCTCATCAGCCTTCGTCTACGACAGCAACAATCTGGACTTCGTGGCTCCTACGTTTCGCGCGTTGGCGCGGTTTTGCCCGATGGGTGGCGAGGATCGGTGCAGGCGAGTCCAACGACAACGACGGCAAACAAATGGCTGGATGGGATCGCAAGAGGGTTATGCATAGAGAACACGGGAGCAACGATCCCGCAACCCCTCTGTGGCTGTGTGCGAACGATGGGGGACTTCTTCAGGTTGACGTCTTTCCGTATACCATCCCTTTTTATTGTTCATGTCACCACGCCCCCCCTCCCCCCTCGCAGAACACGCACCGATGATAATAGCAGCTCTTCCCACGACTGCAGACTCAGCCACTGCGGCAGCCAAGACCCTTCCCGGCGATTCCGCGAGATGGCCAACACCCTAGGGCTAGAGCCTTCGTTTCTCGGCGGTGTGGTGACCGAGATGATGGCGGACCCGTTTTTTCAGGCGAATATATTTTTCCATCTTGACCGCGAGGTCTACTGTAGTCTACACGTTTCGGTCTTGCCAGATGCCTGACTTGTTGGAAGACCACGTCATTCACGGTTCGGTCAGCATGTGTATAAGGGGCGGGTATCCAACGACGTGCATGAAGTGCCCGCTTTGGCTCTGATGATTTTGTGTTTCCGTTCCCAAACAAACGAGTCTTCTTACAAGCTACTCCCGTAGGCAACCACCCGAAACTCGGTGCAAGTCATTAATTCTCTTTTGGTTGTACCACCATTCACTCACCCTCCTCTTCGTCGACGCCCAGAAACGTGCCATCGTGGCTCTGCTAGAGGACTACCGCCAGGGCCACTCGACCGCCCTGCATCTTGTCTCCAACTCGGCGAGAACAGTCGCCGCACTTGTTCCCGCTTCCCTCGCCGCCGCCGCCGCCGCCACCGCCGCCGCCGCCACCCCTGCCCCCATCCTCTCCATTGCCGAGGAGAAAGACGGTGCAAGGAGAGCCCGGGGGGGATGCAGTAATAGGGGTGGCGGGGCGACTTACCACCGAATGATCGTTTCGATGGAGGTTGTGGCCAGGCAGGAAATGGTCGAGGCGCGCCTGCTGACGGATGCCGCGGCGAACGTGCTGCTCAACGTCGAGCACGTAAGGTCCATGGTGTCCATCTGCCACTGGAAGCGCGCCACCGAACCCGGCGGCGCCGAGGAAGGCGGCGCCGCCAGTAGCAAGGAAAGCAGCAGCCGCACAAGCTGCTGCTATGGGCACGACGCGGCTTCTGCCACGGCGAAGGTGGCGGCAGACGCGATGGCGGGAGCGGCGACCGCCCGGAATTTTGTCTCGGCCCTGGCTGTTGCGTACGTTTGCGGGGGGGTTGCATGACAGCTGCGTGTGGCGCCGGCGGTGGGTGCTAGTATAATAGTGGACTCCCGTGCATCAAGCCAGTGTAGCTACATAGCAGGCACAAGTTGAGGGTAGCGATGGCGGTGAACGTGTCTCCTAATTAATCCCGAGTGAATCGGCCTAGAGCATGTGATGCAGTGCGGCGAGAGAGGGGGGGTATGTAGACTCTGCATATGAAAAGTTGAGTGTTGGTGCGATCTCTGGTGCCTGTGCATTATTCCGTGAGTGTGTTTGCCCCCCCCCCCCCCCCACCCCCCCTACCTTGTGCCTACTCGCTGAGCGACTGGGAGTCGGTCGATAGCTTGAAGACTGAATTGATTGCGCTTGTTGATTGCGCTTGTGGTTTCAAGTTGTTGAACGATTTGGTGTAGTATTCGCGTACACCCAAACGTATTTAAACTGTTTTTTCATTAGTCTACAGTAGATTATTATTCGTCAAAGAATATCGATCGATTTCTCCCTGAAGTATATCCACTATTCTCCAGTATTTTGCCCCCCCCCCCCCCCGGGTTTTCCTGGAGGCCTAAAAAAATGGTTTTCTTTCCCCGGGGTTAAATGGGGGCCACACCAAAATTTCCCAAAGGGAAAAGGTGGTCGGGAAAAAGTGGCATTTTTGGGAAAAAACACAAAAAATCCCAAAGTTTATTGGTGCCTCCTTTTGTGGTTTCCCCCAAAAAAAAAAAAGTTTGGTTTTGGCACCTCCCAAAAATTTTTTAAACAAAAACCAATTTCCCCCCCTAAAAAAGGTTTCGAACACCGGGGTGAAAAAACCACCCCCCAAAACGG